AGAGAAATTCTCTAGGTGTTTCCTACACTTTCAATGATGGCCGAGATTTGTATTCAGCACGTAAATACATCAGTACCTGTAGAAGGTTATTTTCTACAGCAGGTATGATATAGTAAGTAAACGTTCATCATTAAAAGATGATGTAATGCAAGAAAACGTTACTCTGCTTAAATTCTTGGTCACCATACAGTTTAAAAAAGATAAAATTAAGAAGTAGGTATAGGTAGGTAGAAGATAGGTAAATTTATGTTAATTAGGCTTTTTTCAGTGAGGGGAAGTGTATATAAGTATATATAAGTACAGTAGAGTCTTGATAACTCGAATGCCAAGGAAACCAAAAAAATTCGAGATAGCAAGTTTTCGACTTAACAGAATTTCGAATATGAAGAGTTAACTCATCAAATTTCGACATAAAAGGCACAATTTCATAGAACATTTATTACGATAAATTATATTAGGAATTAAAACTTCGGACGTCGGACAAGGGTGAACGTTATTTATGCGCGACGCCTAGTGGCATTGTCTGACAACGGATAGTTTCAATAATTCAATATTTATGAAAATCGCTGGCGTGCTGGCTGCGGCGGAGCGATTTAATGGATTAACGATGTACACCCCACGCGTCACATGCAAACAACAACTAATTCTGGTGTAAAGAGACAACAGACAACAAACCAGAAGGTCAATGTCACTAGGGTGTCGTGTTCTTTTAAAGTGAATTAGAATCAATACGATACTATGTCAGAGATTAGAAGTTGCTTAGTTAAACGTTAACCATCATAAAAGGGAATTACGTGATTTTACGTAATTTAAAATTTGAAAAAATTGTCATCTTCATTAATTCCTTACTTCACAAAAACTTATATCACCAATAAGACGTTATCACGTAAACATCTCGATCGTAAACCTACTTTACAAACAACCAATTTTTTTTTTTAATAAAATGGTGTCGTTCTCTTTTGTCTCATGTTCATGAATAGGTTTGAAAATATGCAGTCATGAGCGTGGTAGTGCAACGAATTCAATAACTCATCAATAACTCACTCTTGTTACTATTTAAAAATTCACAAATTCATTTTTATAATTATTCTTACTAAGTGACTTTCGATCTGTTAATTTATTTGTTTTTACTTTTGGAAAAAGTGGAACTGGAGCTGGTCCAGTGGACTGAATTGTGAATATCTAAACCCCTCTCGAATCCTCTTGAACACCCAGATTTTCAGATAATATATAATACTATATATAATACTATATATAATCACCCAAGATTCTCAAACCAACCAATGTTTCAATCCAATAGCATCTCCTGACATCGTTGACCTAACAACTGAGTTTATATCGGGCATTACACAAGTAGGTGTAGACGTCTCCATCATAGCAGTGACGTGGATCTCGCTCATCATGAGCAGCAATTGGTGTCGACATTGAATGTTATTTTAGAGCCTGGCTTTGATAGATACCCCGGTCACCACACAATTCTTCATCCGTTATGGCAATACCATGTTCAGTGGTCTAAAATCAAATAACTATTTTGCAGCGAATGCATCTTTCCAAAAAAATGGTGAAGATAAAGAATAGGCTCACGGCGCCACACATGCTAATGTTTGCTATTGTTAGCACTTCATTTTTGGTCAGCAGCATCGACAAAACTATAGTCTTTCGCAAAGGTGCGACAGAGAGGTAATTGTGAACTCGCCGTATAACTCGCCTTATACATCGTTCTCGAGCGCCTCGATTTGTGGACACTGGAGGAAAATTATGTGGAGTGTTCTGGCACATGCGACAAGGGAGCTGGAAATAACAAGTTGGGACCGCTAACTTGATATAATAAAAATATGAAGTTTGCGAGGGGAGAAGTGAGGAACCCTACCTTTCGCATTATAATGTTACCGCAGTGATTGAAAAAGATAGTATAATGAGGTGAGGAATCTGAAGCCGCCCAGTGAAGATTCTCCTGATTAAATACGTTCGTGGCCAAATTTTTACCATCTTCCATATTGCATAAGATAACGTAGAGAACCTGTAGGTGAAATATCTGACGAATAATTATGAAACGTATTCGAGAATCGTTTACACGTAAATCGATCATAACCTTTTCCATTCGTTTGTAGGTCCTGATACAAACGCACGCGAGAACGTCCCACCAAGCGTCCATTTCAACAAGGTATAAATACCAGCTTTCTATCACTATCTAAAAGACACTGGGTTGATGCAGATAAATATTGATAGATTATCATTAATAGCAATCTGGATGTTGATCATTATTGGCGAGTGTTTACTAAACAGGTTCAGAGATACAGTAGCAATTAAGTCTCAGAGAGCCAACCCGTTAGACAATAACCATACAAGGCAAGTATAGACGACAAAGGTAAAATACTAAATTTATAATCACCGATTATAGAAGGACAGGCGTTGGGCTGATAGAGCATTTAACAATGAACCGGCCCGCAAGGAGTTTAACAAAAATCAAAATCCTTAATTTAGCTCTCGATTTTTTCCAAATTCTACACGCAGACAGTGTGAGAAGAAAAACCTGCCTAATTACGATCGATCAGACAAGTGAATTTACCAAATGTGCATGCATTCCTTGGACGACACTTATTATAGACAATAAATTCTATATTACAGAATTGGAACAAATGGTGACTCAGAAAGCGATTTCGAAGATATTGGACTCAGATCATGGGAAGTACACAGGCGCCACGCTTCTCCTTATTAAACTTATCGCTGAGAGGAAACTCGCTAGGATTCTTTCCCAACGGGTCGATGAAAAATGACGACAGAAGATACAATTTATCTCCTCAGGTGTGAGTGTACACCCAAGCTATAATCTCAATAATATTATACAACTGGATTACAACCATTTTAATCTTGGTTACTACTGTCTATTCCCATGCCACCGTTACATGTCAATAATTTTTGGAGGACTTAGGCACAGTAGAATAATGTGATGTCTCTCATCTTGACAGAACACTTTCTTGACACAAGAAAATAAAATATGACATATAAAAAGTTCTCTGGTCATCGACGAGCGCTGCGTGGATGCTTTAAAGGGTCAGGCGTCTGTTCGATGCAGGGCTGGTTTCACGTTTTCTTATCACTGCAGTGGAAGTACGTACTATACTGCGTAATGTACTATTGTACTATTGTACTGATGTACTTTTGGTATGAAATATATTTATCTGGCATTTCATTACAGCAAAAAAAATATTTTATGTTAAACTTTGAAGGTATAGGTATGATCTCTGATATCTGTAATAACAGGAAGACGATGCTTATATAACACCCTGATTTCCACCCCCTATATTATTAATTAATTTTTTAAATATACTAGCAAATAACTAAATATTTTATTATTTGTATTAATTATAAGGCAAATCTTATATTATTGAAAAATTCTCACTACAAAAAATGAAAGTTCAGTGAAATAAGAAAAATATTCTGCAACGACACCAAAATTACACGAAATTCGCTGATGAACTTGTACTTGGGTTCAACGTCTCCCAGATGCTTATTTCGATAAAGATTGGTAGATATAGCATTATTTATTTGGCTTAGATCAATAGTTACAACCAATAAAAACAGATTGTAAATTACTAAACTTATAATTGGAAGCATAAAAATTGCTGTTTTACGTATTCAAAACAAACATGTAGATATATATGAAGATTGGTTTAAACCTAAGCAAGCTTTTAACAAGTTTTCGGCGTCGTTAAGTTCCTCTTCTACCAATTATATTTGGAAATTACAAGGCTTATTTGGTGTGAATAAATGAGTTTATAATGGGGAGAAAGTGAATTCACTCGCGGAATTAGCATGAAAACACACAAGTACGACTAAGAAAGAAAAGAGACAAAAACATTAGTGCAATGAATAATGTATCTGACCACAATTATATAGTGCTTTTCTCCATGATATATCACTATTAAAAATTGTTACCATGAATCCACAGAGAGAAAAAAGATTTATTATATCGAACATTGAGTCTGCCCCTTCAAAAATATATTCAGGAGACAAAAGAAAAATAACAGAAAATGATTCCGCAACTACGTAGTCACACCAAATAGCACGTAGTGTGTTCAATATATAATACAATAAAATCAGACCTATCATCTGTCGAAACTGTAACGAGTTAGTAAATACACATAATTATAAAAAATGAATATTTGTGCTTACCGAATGAATGTCGGTATTGAAGTGGATATTTTTTTAAGAAACCAATTTTACTTTCTCTTGTGTCAAAATTCTATTAGTAATAAGAATTAGTGTGGCTTTAAAAATTAATGCCCACATAGAAATAAAATCTGCTCCTACAAACATCGGCTATACAAGAAATACCAATGAAGGATAATTCGACAGTCAGTTTGTTATCCGGCAGTGCCACAAGATACAACTTCCATGAAGCTGAGGCCAACCAAAAACGGCGAAACATACGCAACACGTATTGAAAGAGTATACATGTCCCTCGTACCATGGAAATCCCACGATAGTACCAGTAAAGTACCAGGCAGCCAGGATTGAAACTGTGACGCTCCACAACGGCTTTATAAGTAAATATTAGTCGCTGAGAATTCTCCCGAGTAACAATGCGTGGAGGTATGAAGAAAAAAATTATTGCAGATTATGTCACGTTTAATTAATCGATGAACCAACTATAAGAATTGCAATACAGCAATTAGAGTGGCGAGTTATATAATCCCTAAAATATATACTTAAAGTATGAGATTATACTTATTTAAAATTGTCTGAAATTTTCCACAAGTTACACATACTTAGACATAGGTACTATAATAAAATCAATATTGGGAGTTTCCCAATGATGTATTGAAGTGCACTTCAATACTTTACTTTTAAGATTCATGTAATAAGAATTTAAATTATATTTCCATTTATTGAAGTAGGTATTCACTATTAAATTGATTGTTATCACTTGAATAATTAATCGACCGTATCGTATATATACCGGTGTGCAAGTATCAGATTTATCAAATATAATAGCATCTATACGTCCTTCCAAATATTCAAAATGAGAGTAACCCTGTGTTTAATTGCGGCGTTGTTTGCAAATGTTGCAACAGCCAAGGAGGGTAAGAATATATCTTTTTGTATATACATATATTTAATAGATAATTTTTAATTTCAGCTCATATTAGTTATTCGACCTTGGCCGCAGTCCCTCCAAATCCATTCCATTCGGCCAACTTTACCGTGGGTTTAGAAGTTGAGTCAACCTTCTACGATGTGATGAAGCTGCAAGCCTGGTTAGAAGAGGACCACTTTGCTTTCGAAACAATCGACTCTGAGGACGGAAAAATTGTAACTAGCATCGGAGGATTGGCCAACGATTATCAAGAAAAGGTTGGCTGGCAGTTATTTATTGTGCCAGAATATCCAGCTGATTGGTGGACAATCCCAGACGATTCATATCGGGCAACTAAACCAGTGGATAAAATTGTTATTGAAGATGGTCAGCATTTCTATTTTATTTATTTAGAAATAAGAAATGAACAGAAGCCATAAGATTTCTTTTTGTACGTTTTTGGTATTTAAAAAATAATAAACGTAAATAATAAATTTCGGCTTGTTTTGCGAGGAAACCTTTTGTTATTAAATAAGTGGATTCGGGTGATCCGCTGGTTTTTTAGTTTGCGGAAAATAACTACCGCTGCAAAATTAACTAATCTTGTTATATTACTATTTATACGTTTTGTTTGACGGAAAACACGAGTTCCCCCTCCGGTTAATAACCAAAACGATGAGAACTATGGGAAGATAAAACGAGGAACCAATACAGCAATAACAATCGAAGGAGATTAAAACAGCAGGTTTAAAAGCCGTTGTAAATTTCCAGATTTCAAAAAAATTCTAAAATGAGGCTATCAAATTGATTTTTGAGGTTAATGTGTACACGTCGTAATAGATTCTCCATTTGAGAAATATCTAGAATAGCAACAAGAAAGAGCGCTCTAGAAAATGGATATAAAATAAAAATAAAATTGTTTCAAAATATTTAAACAAGTAGTTATACAAATAATTTCTGTTGATTATTCTAAAATCGGTGAGAAAACGCACAAGACAAAAGAAACATGTACGACCAAACAAGATTTAAATATTGAGTATTCTTTATAGATTATATACCAACGCTTTACTAAATTATTGCAAAGCTCTGGGAAGCAACACAGCAACACATTTCTAAGCAATTGCATAGATCAGATTTAAGTTCAAAATACCACCTTGGTCAAAGGCAAGCATGATTTACGCCTACATGATGCTCGGGCCTGTGTCTTCCGAGGAAATCTGATCATACAAAACAGAAGGACCAAACAATAATCATATACGATGTATATGCAAAGAGGAGAACAGCACGACAAAATAAAATAAAATTGTTGCAAGTATATATACAGATAGTAAAGACAATGGACAAAAAACTGAGGTATTCACAAACATAGAAATTTTTATCTTTACATTCTCAACCCCCTCAGTAATAAAAAATAATTTTATTAAAGAGATTTTCTGCTTGTCGAGCAGGGAAAACAAAAAGTATCCGATGATGACACAAGCGTGTATTGAATCCCGTATCTTCATTATTTAAAAACCACGTCAGCTAGTAAACTTCTTATAATAGGCATAGTTTGTGTAAATTGCAGAGTGACATTGAAAATTTTCTAACGATTTTCCGCAACATCGTTAAAGCGCCAAACTTGTCGAAACCGCTCACTAAGAACTGCAATCACATCGAAATATGTTTTGAGTGTGTCAATTTATAAATTATTTACTGATATTTATCTTCGACTAAATCAATCACACGCGGGTAAAATTATGTTTTATTTCAGGAATGTTAGTAGGTCAATGAATGGAAAAAAATGCATTTTGAAGTTAATACTCTTCAATTAACGCTCCAAAGCCTAATTTATAGAGGGATAGAAAAACTGCAGAAATCTAAATGTTTGTATTATTAGCAATTTAAAAAATAAAATATATTGATATCCTGAATTAAATTGCCTTTAATGATGAAATATGTTCACATCATTTTAGGAATATAATTTTTCCGAAAAACGTTAAAAGTATGGGAATGTTCGGAATTTTCGGCAGTGATTAAAGTGATTTGCAATATTCAATCGTCAACCGACTAAACTTCATTTGCTTGCCGAAGAGATCTACTAGCGCTTATATTCATCAACGTATTCAGTTAGTTAGAGCCTCTTCAGAGGAGATGAATCTCGAAAAGAAAGCATCGAGGTAGATTAATCAAATCAACATTCTACTGATAAAGCAGAAGAAACAAAAAACGCGTATTAAGCAATTCGTGGTGGTTATTCTTAAATATTATTATTTCCAGGTCCAACTACGATTAATAAAAAAATATTTTTGCAGGTGAACAAAATGTTTGTTGCGCACGCGTAAATCAGGCTTCAATTTGAAAAAGATAAGACAGACGATTCCATGATTCTAAAGAATCAATTCAGCTTGATTTAAACACGCTTACAGTTATGAGTATACGTGGTACTTAATCATGCCATTAATGCTTCAAAGTATTAACGATTTAATAGAAGTGCCATATAAGAAGGTTCACACAATTAGAGTCATGGACTCTAATATAAAATATATGTTTCTTGAATAGAAATTTTGAATCGAAAAGCATTATGTTCAATAGATAATTCATAATTGTTTACATGTCCCACATAAGTGCAACATATTAAAGTACCCAATTTTTATACGATAAGGAGACCCCACAAGTACTCTATATGAATCACAGCACTCTCCGATTATACCCAAATATAAAAACAGTTTCATTTAATTCATCACTTAATGAATTAAATTTGCACAAAAGAGCATTGATTTTCTAATTAGTTGAATGAGAAGAGATTCAACTGAATCGGCTGAATTATAAATTACTGTTTCAACTTTTTATTAGAAGCAGTAATGATGCATCAAGCATAATGTGTTAAATAATAAAGTGGCTCTTAAGCGTTATCTTTGACAGCTGATTATTAAAGATGATCAACCGCGACCAGCGCCCGAACAACTAAGCAACAACTCATCATTTGAGTACCGCGTTAATCAAGAAAATCCTTAACAAAAGACCACAAACGCTACAATAATCTACAACGTAATTTGAAAAAAATAAGAAAATTATAAATATATTTGTCAATCCTGACAGTTTGTGACAGTTTCATAATATTGAAAATTTGCCATTAATTTCCAGCGTTAAACTGCTTTCACAACATTGGGAAGAAGTTCGATAATGCTGAGCAAAACACTTATCGATTTACTGATTAAGAGTCGTAAATCAGTATATTATCAGTTATAAATTGGTAATACCTAATTTTTATTGGCAATTTCGATATTTATGTGCAGCCACTGGGAATCTTTGATACGGAAGAAATATAAACAACATACCAAATCATCCTGCCCGGGCAGAAGTCAGCGGAAACAAGAAGAGGCGAAAAATTTGTTTTTGTCGGGGACAACATCCTGTAGAACTATGTATAGGTATATTTCTTTGCTTTTCCGTCGAAAACTCCTTCACAGATCGGTATTTTTGTGACAATGCCTTAAAAATATTCATTGTAATATTGTTAAGCTTTGTTTCAAACAAAATGTAATATGGGAGGAAATGACCAAATATTTTAATTCAATTAGAAGAAGCACTCCTTTGCTATGTAAACAAAAGCTTAAAAAGCTTGAAATCATAAAAATAGTACCAAGAAATGACAAAACAGATAATTATTTAATTCTTAATATAAAATAGAAATATCACTGACAATGATCTGCAGGATTTTCCATTTATAGTTAATAAATATACATTCAAAGTGGATTGGAGATATAAGATTGGAGTAATCTTGACAGTTTCTATTGAAGAGAAATATAATATAAAACAGAATAATAAGGTTATGTTGCACTTTGGGCGAACGAACCCAGAATGCCGTGGAAGACATTTTTGAGGCTTTGAAACTTTGTTGATTGAAGCACCAAGGCAACTAACTTCAACATATTTCAGTCGAGTCAAGTTTGCGATAGGGAGAAATCAAACTGTACCCTTTCCGTCGGCAGATTTAAAACGCAAAGTATTTTCCACGTCAAGACAAAATGCACAACACCCGAATCTCCTCTAAACCCAAAATGGTGATAAAGAGTTCAGCAGCGATCTCGCTACCGGTGCCACTGCAATTAATTCAATGGAATGAGCCAATCCGTTCTCATCCAAATTCTAGCCCCAAATGATGAAATTGTTATCAAGTAACAATTTGTTCCAGGCAAAAAACGGAGTACGACTTAATCTTCACGAATTGCAATCTGGTCTTGTTCTTGATCCTCAAATGATATGGTGAAACTTCAAAAAGAGCAAGCAAATTCTAATTTTATTAGTGAATGGTAAAATGAGAGTATTATTTTGACTTTAGCTGAACGATTGAAAACCGATCGGTTGTTGACGGAGCAACGACTCGGTAGACAATGCTGAGAGTGCAGCGTCATCGTGTCTGTTGTCACTTTCTAAAACAAAACACTATCTCACCATGGCAACCCCGATTCTGATGTTTTAAAAACCTTCTAAATGCCTTTTTACAATGGGGATGTGAAAATCATATCAGCCATGAAATAATAAATAAACTTCTGTTTTCAACAAAACAACCCCAGCCTACTTAGATTGTTTAAGAATTGTTTGGGGACGAACGTATAAATAGCGCACGTATGTATTTTAAAACGTTATTGCCAAGTAGTATTTTGAATTGTCAGTTTGTTGTGTGTCCGATTGGTTTCAATGGTTATCATCATAAAATATATAAATAACTAAATCCTTGAAACCAAAACATTGAAACATTTTTTAAATTGAATATTTATTGTATTTATATTTATCTAAACGTGTCACCATAATTTTGATGGTAATTTGGTCCTGGTCTTCGTCATCTGGTTGTTGAATTCACGTTAACGTTTCTTCGACTTTCTTCTTCAATCGATCAAAACATTTTTAATGTGTACCTAAAGTTATTATTTTACAATTGTAAAATAAATATTTGTATATTTTACGACATTTTTAATTGGAAGATGTCATGTGTGCAATATTCAATTTTCTGTGTTCTTTGGTAAACTTATAGACTTTCCATGTTCCTCGATTATGGGTTCTTTAATATTGAAGCATTATTTTCTGGAATATTCGTAACGGAAGGTCCTCTTCGAATTTGAGCTTATTCTAATTTTCTTCGATAATACGAGTACATACATTGACTTTATGGTGGAGACGCTAGGCCGCAGCTGGGCATCTGCGGTGAGGCAGAGCGTTGGTTGTAGTTGGCCAGGGGTCTGTCGGTGGACCGTGAGCTGGCGAAAGTCGATCTTCAGCCCGAAGACTCGACTCGTGTGGAGGCCAATGATCACGTCGCGGGGTGAATTGGCCAACACGTGGACATCGACAGGGTGGTTGTCGTTGCCGATGGTGAGGGAGACGGTGGCGGAACCGTCGCTAAGGGTGCGACCGTTCACTTGGAGGACGGCGATTGCGGTGTGTGGACGGGGCTTGACATTCAAGCGTCTAGCGAGGGTGGCGCTAACGACGTTGATGGTGCTCCCGGAGT